GGGCGTTCCTGGGGTTCTCGTGGCCATAGCCTGTCGCAGAGCGAGAACCTGGTCAGAACGAATCCCCAGGAGGTGTCGGGGCACCGACTTTCAGAGGGTCTAGATCAGGGCATGGTTTATTCCCGCGTACGATCTCTATTCGTCCATACTTTTTCTCCCTCCCTCCCTCCCCTCCCTCATTCCTCCCTCCTCCCTCCTCGTCGTTCCCCTTCCTGCTCCTCCCCACTCGTACTCCCTCCTCCTCGTATTTTTGTCTCTCTAGACAGATCTGACTTGTCTGACCACCGGACGTGTCGGTAGGACGGGCAGGGCGTCGCGCTTGACATGTTCTAACAATGCTTTACCCGGAAGATTAAATTTGCTAGCGATGGGCGGCGGGTGGCGTTCAACATGGGGTTCTCGCCATTGCGGTGCGCGCATTCTTTTGTAAAGCTTGCAAGAGCTACTAGGATGGAGTGCGGGTGATTTCAAAGAACGGCCAACGACGACGACGATGATAACGACGACGACGACGACCACGACGACGACGGCGGCGTCGGCGACGTCGGCGACGGTGACGACGACGACGACGACTAGGTCGAGGACGACGACGACGAACAGTTACGCTACCGAGGAACCCCACATACTTATATTATGGCTGGAATGATGATAGCTGAAGTGAAGCATGTGAGAATGATGATGGTAGCCGTTGCCCCACCGATGCCGTTGGTGACGCCACTCAAGTGGAGAGGTGGAAGAGGAGAAGCGCCGCGCCAGCCACACTCTGCGAGCCCGGTGACCTGGTCGACCGGCGCGCAGAGCGGCCGCGGTGAGGGACCACCCCCTGCGCACCCCGTCTGGCGTCGAGAAAGCGCCACGCTTGCTATGCCCTGGACGACCGTCGTGCATAGTGGCCGCGGTGAGGGACAAACCCCTGCGCACCCTCGATGGTGTCGAGAAAGTGCCACGCCTGCTATGCCCTGGACGACCGGCGCGCAGAGCGGCCGCGGTGAAGGACCACCCCCTGCGAACCCCGTCTGGCGTCGAGAAAATGCCACGATTGCTATGCCCTGGACGACCGTCGTGCATAGCGCCCGCGCTGAGGGACCACCCCCTGCGCACCCCCTATGGTGTCGAGAAGGTGCCACGCCTGCTATGCCCTGGACGACCGGCGCGCATAGCGGCCACGGTGAGGGACCACCCCCTGCGCACCCCGTCTGGCGTCGAGAAAATGCCACGCGTGCTATGCCCTGGACGACCGTCGTGCATAGCGGCCGCGCTGAAGGACCACCCCCTGCGCACCCCCAGTTGTGTCGAGAAAATGCCACGCCTGCTATGCCCTGGACGACCGTCGTGCATAGCGGCCGCGCTGAGGGAGCACCCCCTGCGCACCCCCTATGGTGTGCGATGCGGTCACGCCTGCCGTGCCCTGCGCGCTAGCCCTGCGTGCTCTGCTGGGCTGTGCTGTGCCGAGCTGAGCTGTGCTGTGCTGTGCCGGGCTGAGCTGTGCTGTGCTGTGCTGTGCTGAGCTGAGCTGTGCTGTGCTGTGCTGTGCTGAGCTGAGCTGTGCTGTGCTGTGCCGGGCTGAGCTGTGCTGTGCTGTGTTGTGATGAGCTGAGCTGTGCTGTGCTGAGCTGTGCTGAGCTGTGCTGAGCAGTGCTGTGTTGTGCTGTGCTGTGCTGCGCTGTGGTGCGCTGCGCTGCTCTGCTGTGCTGCGCTGTGCTGCGCTGTGCTGTGCTGAACTGCGCTGTGCTGCGCTATGATGAGAGAGGGAGGAAAGGGAGGAGGAAGGTGGTATATGAGGGCATCGGGTGCGACGAGGCAGGGAAGAAAACCATAACCCCACTAATAATGTGGGGAACAACAACAACAACAACAACAACAACAACAACAACAACACCAACAACAACAACAACAACAGCAGCAGCAGCAACAACAACAGCAGCAGCAGCAACAACAACATCAACAACAACAACAACAACGACGACGACGACGACGACGAAGAGGACGACGAACGACGAGAGCGACAACGACGGACGACAGCGACGACGACGACGACAGCGACAACGACGACGACAATGACGACGACGACGCCGACGACGGTTGCGACGACGAGCGGCAGGCAGAGCGGCCACCGTGGCGGCCGCACACCGGCAGGGCGCTCGCGGGGTGCGGCGCAGGCCGCCAGCCGCCCGCCGGGCGGCCGCGCGCGGTGGCCAATGCGCCTATCGCTCATCGCCGTCGTCGTCGCCGCCGTCGTCGTCGCCGCCGTCGTCGTCGCCGTCATCGTCGGCGCCGTTGTCGTCGTCGTCATCGTCCTCGTCCTCCTCCTCCTCCTCGTCCTTCGCGTGGTGCGGCCGTGGCCCGGCCTTTCGGGTAGGGTCCTGGCCCAGACATGCTCGGGCGGGTCGTAACTGGGGGTGAAGAAAAGACCGCTTTAGGGCCCCGTCCTTCTCACTTTCCCATCTCCACCCGCCCGTCCTAGCCCAGACATGCTGGCGTCGTGAGAAAGTCAGGACGGGTGGTGTTTGCGATTTTTGTCGGCCTCTGGGGGCCCTTACCAGGCCCAAGGATTGTCAAAAAGAAAAACCTGGGACGAAAACCAGCCTTGAAGAGGGTTCGGGACTTCCGGGCGGGACTTTCGAAAACAGACGCAGGACGAAAAACCCTCCTTGAAGAAGGGGTCGGGACTTCTGGGTACCTCGCATTGAAAAGTACAGACGTCGCGTCTCGTGGGCCCCAGACGTGGGGCTTGGAGTCGGCTGGGGGGACTGAGGTGGGGCAGCACTGGTTCCAGCAGCTGGATCGGGGGGTGGCACCTTTGTGCACAGGTGTCGTTCCCTGTCCCCTCTTGGCCCGCATGGATTGCCTCCTTTCCCCTCCTGGCCGGCTGTGCTGGGGCCCGTCCAGGCCAGGCCCCCGCAGGCGCCTCCAACGTGGGGCCGTTCTTCGGCCCCACGGCCATCAACACGGGTCTTGGACGAGAAGTTGTCCCCCGGGTGGCCCCGCAAATTCAGCCACGCGCAGAGGGGGGCAGGGGGCAAGGGAAGGCTTCTGAAAGGCACCCCTGCTTCTGAGAAGGCGCGGGCCTTGTCTGTAGATATTTGGCCGGCGCCTTCTAAAAAGCGGCCTCCTTCGAAGAAGCCTTGCCCCTCCCCCCTTCCCCCTTGTGCGAGCCGCCCAGCGCCCTGGGCCCCTGCAGCGCGTGGCGCAGCTCCTCGGACGTCCAGTTATGACGCCCAGAACCGCGCAGGTCGCCGCCGAGCCACGTGACACGATGGCCCGCAGGCGCCACAAACCCACGGGAGGAGCCGCACGCGGGGTGCTGCGGCATGACGGCTGGACTTGGCAAAAACAGCCCTCGAGCAAATTGCTGAAGAGCGCCCTGTCCGCTAGTCAGCGCGCGTCCGCCGCGCTGCCGGCGTGCTTATCGCCGCCACGGCAATTTCGAGTCGCGCCGTCGCCGCGCCTTCGCCGCCGGTCGCCGCCGCGGCGGCCGCGGGCCGCCCGCCGCCAGGGGCGTCCGCGGAGCGGAGGTGGCCGCGGGCCGCCCGCCGCCAGGGCCGTCCGCGGAGCGCAGGCCGGCGCCGGACAGTTAACGCCCCCTCTGCCACTTTGGCTTATGAACTTCCCAGCCCACTAAGACGGGCGTCCCCGACGACGGAATGGCTTATGTTGTGCCCTCGTCGACCCCGAGTATCCCTAGAAGCAGGCGCGCCTGCCCGAGCAGCCAGAGGCAGCCTCGGCGCCAAGCCGCCCGCCCTCCTCGAGGACGAAGGGCGCCAGCCTGGGGCCTGGCCAGCGGGAGTGCTTGTCCCGCTCTCCTCGGCGGCTGGCCTCCTCGTCACGCCGCGCGGCCACCCGCAGCTCGGCCTGGGTGCCAGCCTCGGGGTGGCGGATATACTAGTAGGTCGACCCTGCCAAATCAAGGGTATTGTGTCTCGCGACCCATGCTTCCTACATTCCTGTGGCAATGTGGCCCTCGGAAGGGTCTTCTGTCATCTCGCGTGTCCTGTCCAATCGAGTCCGACTGTATGCGTCTGGCCAGCGCAGACCGTCTTCGTTTTGACATTCCGAACTCAGGACTGGGCGTTCGAGGCGGCCGTCTTCGCGTCGGCAGTCCCAGGTCGGCGCCATCTGCTCGACGAGGGGCCGCCGATTCTCTGCTTGAGTGCCCCGTGGCGCGCCACCACGCCCCCGCCCGGCTGGACTGTGGGCCGCGGCTGCCGTTTCAGGCAGTCTGGCGGTGTCCTGATGCCTTGGTCCTCCGTGAGCTCCTGCGCCGCCAGGAGGCCAGGAAGGCCGCGTGGCGACGCGTGATAGCCAGCTGCGCGCCCAGGCCTCCACACCGGGCCAGGAGGCCGAATAGCTCCTGGTTTGTGTCGCCGAGGTCCCTGTCTGGGAGGTACCGCCAGCATCCCGCGAGCATGTTGTCGATGTTGCGTCGCGGCGTCCGGTCAGCTCCTGCGGCTAGCTCCATTCGAGATAGGGAAGGGGAGCGGTCGGTCAGGAAGGCCGGGTTGGGATATCGTCATCCGCGGGGTTTGCTTGGTGGAGTCCGTGTTGACGTTGGACGGAAAAGCGAGCTCGTCGAAGTTGAACCAGTTTCGGTTGATGGCCAGAAATGTTGAGGAAACTCCCGACTCCATGGCGTCATCCCTGTCGTCTTTCTCTCTTTGGTTTTTTGCGGGCTTCTGGCGTCAGTGGGTTGGTCCCACCGTTCGGGCCTTATGCCCTGTGGGTTGGCAATGTCTACGTTCCCGCGCCCCCTATACTGGTAAGCAAGGTCGCCCACGGCGGCGCGAAGATAGTCGTGCTGTGCGCGCTTCGCCGTCTGGACTGGAACGGTTGTTCTCCAGGGCGGCGGCGCGAGGGCCCGAGGTTGGGCGACAGCGACAGCGCACCCTCCTCTCCGACCTGCGCTCAAGTCGTTCTGGCGCAAGCCGCTCCGGCTCCAGCAGAAGCCAGCAGCCGACCGCTTTGGCGGACTCCCCCAGCGGCCCCACGCCCCCGAAGCGGCGATGCCCGCCGCGAGCGCTGTGCGCCCGGCCGCGCTGGCAGAGCCGGCGCAGGAGCCCGGAGATCCGATGATGAGGAGGTTTCGGCGCGCGGTCTGAAGATGGCTTGACCCCTTCACGGGGCAAGTTCTCCATCCGTTTCAGATCGGGAGCGAAAGAAGGACGTACATGTACATGAATCCACGCTGGTTTCGAGAGTTCGCATGGAGCGAATGTTCGTATCGCGCGGCAGGTCTCGCGGGCCAAGGGGCCGTGTTCATGTACATAGCTGGGCGCGTACGTCCTTTGTGGGCTCCCTATGAGATGGTCCTGGGGCCAGATGGCGGGCCCCGGCCCCAGAGGCCGAAAATCGAGGAAGCGCGCCTGGGTTGGAGAAGATCGGCTCGTCGGAGGGCCGGGAGGATGGGGGGCGGCCACGAGCGGGGTAATGACGAGGGGGGGTGGACAGCATGGCCCCGCCATGCGGCCTCCCGGAGTGAATGGCCCCTCGTCTTCTTTTCATGCGCCCCCTAGCTGGTCTCCGCCCCGTCCGCGCACATGCCTCGGGCCATGATTCGCGACCCCCCTCCCTTTCGCACGCCCCCATCCCTGGACGCCCCCGAGAGGAGCTCCCGAGCCACTCCGGGCCGCTGCCCCTGGCGGCGCAGGCCGAGCCGCCCGGGCGCGGCGGCGCCTTCGACGACCTGCTGGGCCAGCTGGCCGCGCTGCACCGGCAGGAGGTGCAGGCCGTGCTGCGTGAGCTCCAGGTCGCGGAGCAACAAAACAACATACATCAAAGAGCCAAAGCCGGCGTAAACATACACTGCCGGATCTCCGCGCGGAGTTCTCGGATCGGAGGTGGAGCGCGCCAGGGGCAGCGCGGGAAGCGCCGCCAGGGAGGCCCAGCGCCGATCCAGTTTATGTTTATACGATTGCCTTCGAACACAATTGGCATCCCTGGGACGAGCGCATTTGCCTCGACGAGGCCAGCGCCATAACATCTGGACCATCTAGGAGCATCTTGGATCCGCCGCCCCTGGCGCCCTCCGCGCGCCAGGGAGGGGGTCCATGGAGCGCCGACCCGGGACATCCGCAGGGACTTCCGGAAGTGAATGTGCTTGTGTCTTTGTTGTTTTGCTCCCAAAGGCGAGCGCCGCGCTGGTCCAGCGGTTGCGGTCCGGCCATGGAGAGGACGCGTCCGTGCTGTTGCCGTGCTGCGTGCCCTCGGAGGAGCCGGCGCCCGAATCGCTCCAGGCGGGCGCCGGCCCCGGCCGCGGGCCCACGCCGTCGCCGCGGCCGAAGGACGCAGGCCACCAGGCGCCATCGAGGAGCCTGTCGCCAGCAGGGGAGAGGTCAGGAGGGGAAAAAACACACAGACACAATGAATCTTCGATTTCCCAGAAAATATGCGAAAATATGGGAAGTGGGGTGGAGGACAGAAACCCAGAAAATATAGGAAAATATGGGGGATATTTTTATTTGTGTGTATTTATTTGTCTGTTCCAGTTCCCCTTCAAGAGGAGCGTGCAGTGCAGCCCCCGGTCCACGTCGTCGCCGCCGCCGAGGGACGCAGGCCCCCGGGCGTCAGGGAGGCGCCCCACGTCGGCATCGGAGGAGGGCTTCGGGAAGTTCGTGCTGTCGGACGCCTGGAGGGGCCCAGGCGAAGAAGAAGAGGCGGTGCTCTTGAGCAGGACGATGAGCAGCTTGACCATGAGCATGGACCGCGCTTCCCTGTCGCTTATCGGCCTCCCCAGCGTGCCGAACGGCCTCGGCTCGGTCTCGGAGACGGCTCGCGACAACCACAAGCGGTGCGCGTGGGGATCATTTGTGCCGGCCTCCCCAGGGAGCCCAGCGAGGATGGTTTGGGATTTCTTGGGGGCGGTGCTGATCTTCTACGACTTGCTGAAGCTTCCAATGGAGACCTTCCATCCGCCCGAGACTGCCTTCAGTATAGGCATGGACTGGTGCATCCTCTGCTTCTGGACCCTTAACGTCTTCGCTTCACTTACTATCGGCTATGTTGATCGGAGGGGCGTGGTCGTGCTGTCGATGCGAAGGATTGCGCTACGGTATATCAGGACCTGGTTAGCAATCGACTTACTGGTGCTGGTGCCCGACTGGACTTCCACCATAGTGGCAGCAGTAGTCACTCGGAACAATGCTGGTGAGGACAGCGACATGTTCCGGCTGCTCAGAGTGTTGCGTCTTGTGCGGATGGTGCGATTGTTGAGGTTGCTCAAGCTCCGGAAAATACTCATGACGATCAATGATATGATCGATTCAGAGAGTGTCAGCGTCATTGCAAACATAGTGAAGATGATGTTCATGCTGTTGGTGGTCAACCATATAACTTGTTGCATGTGGTACGCCGTGTCCGTAAACCAGTCGGGTGAGCAAACTTGGATCAAAGTTCACAAGTTCGAGCATGCCCATTGGACGTACAAGTACGCTACTGCTTTCCATTGGTCAATCCACATGCTGTTGGCAAGCTGGCCGCCGCACCAGCGAAGCATTATCGATTGTTCCCGATAGTCTCGGCATAACGCTCCTTGGACCATTTGGGAACGCATCGCTACGATGTTGTCACAAGCGTGGCGCAGCCGTCAGGAGCCTCTTTGGGCCCTCTCGGGGGCATCTGGAGGTCGTCTGGGCGGCCTCCATGGGGTGTCTTGGTGTCTCGGGGCTAGCTTTGGCGCGATCGTGGGGCGTTCGACGAAAGCGCCTGTCCCGATGGGGGGGAGCGGCGCCCGTGGGAAGATACTATTTGTTTCAGGGTCCAGATACTATTTGTTTAAGGGTCCTCCTCCTCCTCCTCCTCCTCCTCCTCCTCCTCCTCCTCCAGCGTTCAGCTGGGTTGTCAGGCCCGCCTGCCCGCCCCCATCCTCCCCCCTGGACAGCCCGACCTTGTCGGTTGCGCAGGTCCGAAGGGGGCACGCGAGACTGGTGCGCGCGGGCATGCGTGGGGCTGCCCAGAGCGAAAGAGGAGGAGGAGGAGGAGGAGGAGGAGGAGGAGGGGTGAGTCATCGGCCGGCACGTCTCTCCCCCGCTCACGCACCGGAGAGCCAGGGTGATTGCAGTAATCGGGAGCCTCGAGACGGGGGTCAATGCAAACGGGGGTCAGCCAGAGCGCCCGATCTTGCAGGATCCTGCAGGGCCAGGGTCGCATTGGCCCGGGTTTGGGTGCAGGATCCTGCAGGATCCTTCGCATTGACCCGGGTTTGGGTGCAGGATCTTGCAGGATTCTGCAAGGCCTGGCTGACCCGGGTCTGGATAGACCCGGGTCAGAAGATCCCCGAAGTAAACACTTATTTCATAACGAAATGCATCACGAAATGCAGAAGCCCTACCAGACAGCCAGCGGGCATTCGAGGGCGCCCCATCGTGCCGAGTGGCGTGGCGGCGGATCACCCAGTTCACTCCTGCGTCGATGGACGTGCAGCCTCAGAACCTCGCGGAGCGCGTCTTCACCGTGGTGGTGGTGGTCCTCGCTTTGGTGGGCTTCTCCTACATCGTCGGCAGCATCACGGGCTCCCTGGGGCAGTTGCGCAATATGAACGCAGAGGAGTCGATGCTGTTTTGGGACCTGAAGCGGTATCTGGCCAGGAACAAGGTTCGGCGTCGTCTAAAGGAGCCTCCCCGATCCCGCCCCCATTCATCCTCCTCCCACCCCTCCTCCTCCTCTTCCTCCAACCCCCCCTCCACCCGTTCCGACAAGACGTGTCCAACCCCCCCAGTGGATCCAAGGGGGGGGGGGGCGATGATTGACACATCCAGAGTACCTTCTGGACCATGACCTCAGCCCACCACGTCACCTGCCGAGGCGGGGATAGGGCACTCGAGGCCCAAGAGGAAGAGCGGGTATCCCCATATATGGAGTGGCAAATCGGCCATTACCATGCCAGTGGGGATGGGGATCGGTGAGACGATGCTCTAAGGTGCCGCGGCCCCTATCCATGCGCATCCAGAAGTACCTGGAGAACGCCTGGCAAGCGCAGTCGAAGAAGTCAGGACAGAACTTCAAGCTCAAGAACATGTTATCCGAACAACTCCTGTCCGAGCTCAAGTTCGAGATGGCCGTGCCGCAGTTGCGCATCCACCCGCTGCTGGACAGACTGATCGATAAGTCCAAGGTCACCGCGAACCGGTTGGCCAACGTGGCTATGGGTCACAAGCTCCTCGCTGCAGGCGACTACCTGTTCCATCACGGAGAGGCTGCGACCCACATGTTCATCGTGGTTGATGGCAAGCTCATCTACGCCAGGTTGGACAGTTACGGCGGCGTGCACAAGGAGTTGGTGGAAAAGGCCGAGGATTGGATCGCTGAGCCAGTTCTCTGGACGCGGCGTTGGGTGCACTGCGGCCTGTTGAAGGCCATCGAGGACTGCGACAACCTGGCCATCGACTCAAAGAAGTTCGCGGAGCAAGTGAAGCTGAACCCGGAGGCGCTCGAGTTCGTCTCAGAATATGCGCAGAATTTTATCGAGTGGCTCAACAACGAGGATCCGAACGATTTATCAGACATCTCCCAGGGAGAGAACTTGAGCGAGCTGCTCGCCGGCTTCATACCCAGCATGGAGAGCGTCGAGTGCGACAACCCGAGCGGCGAGAACGTCAGAGCGCGCTTCTTCTTCGCCCTCGCCAAGACGGACATGCTGCGCTAGCTCCGAGCGTCGGCGATTGAGGGCTGCAACTTGCCCCGACGTCTCCCTCCTCACCGCGAAGCGGCGGGGGGGGGGCCGCGCTCCCGGTCCCGAGCGCGCGGGCCGTCTGCCGTTTGCCGCGGCCGAGGCGCTGAGCAGGCCGCGCTCCTGGAGTGCGCCCCTCCCCCCCTGGCGGCCGAGCAGGGAAGGAATCTTGTTGACCCGAACGGGGGTCCGGCATTTTTCTCCCGGGCCGGACGAAAGGAGGGGATAGGGAAAGGAGGGGTTACGAAATCTGCTGCATGTAGCTGGTTTCGGCCCCACCGAGGGGCCCATTCCTCCATACATGGCCGCCTCTGGAGCCTCCCGTGAGCTGATTCTCAAACCCTCCCTTTGCTATCCCCCCTTTTCGCCCGGCCCCATATAATGTTCCAACCTACTTCAGCCTTGGTCACCAGAAAGAAGTTCGGGCACCACAAAAGTGCCCGAAACTCGAGGGTGTTCACGTGTCGGGCCCTGGGAGACACTCGCCCGACACCGTTTCGACACCCGGTGCAATAGATCTGGTGCAATCGATTTGTGGGTTGGAACGGATTTGGGGCGTGCAGTACATTCTGGGGCGCAATTGTTGTATTGCTGGATTTTCGCGTGAAATGCATTATTTGTAAGACAAGGCAATACAAGTATCTGGCGCAGTATATTTGCAGTACAATTCCCAAAATCTTCTTGCACCACCCCACTTTCAGCTGGATCCCTGTCAACCAAAAAGACTCGGCCAGGCGAAACTCGGCTGGCTGATCTCGCCCGGCTGAACTCGGCCCGTGCCGAGCTCGATTTTGGCCAAGTTCGCCATGGCCGAAATCGGCTGGCCGAGTTCAGCCTGACCGAGGTCAGCTTGGCCGCGTTCAGTGAAGCCTGGCCGAGTGCTCTTGGCCGAGTTTAGCTGCTTCCCCTCTCAGATTCACACCCCCCCACATCTCGAGGGAAGATCATGGCGGAAGGTTTTCCGCCACCCTCGGCCTCACCGATGCATCGGCGATGCGGCTCTATGTGGGGCCCGACGTTCTCTACGCCGACGTCGTCGAGGCATCGCCGGCGCATTGGCGATGCAATGGCGATGCGGCGCCATCCTCCGACTTCATGCGGTGGGACTCTGTCTGGGGAGCCCAAGTTCAGCGAAGAGGGTCGGGAACAGAGGCCGCCTCCTGGGGTCGGTGCGATGGCTCAGGCTGTTTTGTGATCCATCGCAACATGACCATAAGGGGGCGAGGAGAGCGGAGCGAAGGGAGCGGGGGTGGAAGCGGAGAGCACGCAGAGGGGGGGGGAGGGGAGGAGGAGGAGGAGGGAGGAGGGAGGAGGAGGAGGAGGAGGAGGAGGATAAGAGCGGGATGAGAGGAGGGAGGAGGAGGAGGAGGAGGAGGAGAGGAGGAAGGAGGGAGGAGGAGGGACGAGGAGGGGAGGATGGAGGAAGAGGAGGAGAGGGAAGTAGGAGGAGGACGGGGGAGGAGGGAGGCAGGAGCAAGGCAACATGAGGAGGATAGGAGGAGGAAGGAGGAGGAGGAGGAGGGGGTAAGGGGGAGGAGGAGGAGGAGGAGGAGAGGAGGAGGAGGGGGAGAGGAGGATGAGGAGGAGAGGGAGAGGAGGCGGAGGAGTGAGGAGAGGAGGAGAGTAGGATATGAGGAGAGGAGGAGGAGGAGGAGGGGGAGAGGGGATGGGGAGGGAGGTACAAGTTAGGTGCGCTCGCGACAACATCTGACATCCTACCCCTCCCTCCCATCCCCTTACCATGGCGCTGATTTTCTCTATCCGCGGACGCGTGTCGCAGCGGACCTGTGGCTCAACGCGCGTGTGCGTAGTGGGTGGTGGTGCGCGTGCGTGCGTGCGTGCGTGTGTGTGTGTGTGTGTGTGTGTGTGTGTGTGTGTGTGTGTGTGTGTGTGTGTGTGTGTGTGTGTGTGTGTGTGGTGTGTGTGTGTGTGTGTGTGTGTGTGTGTGTGTGTGTGTGTGTGTGTGTGTGTGTGTGTGTGTGTGTGGGGGTGTGTGTGTGTGTGTG